CTGTCAATTCGTCCGTCGTCGTACGACGTGGACGAATTGACAGATCTCCAACCAATAGAAACACTTTCGTACCATCGTATCATCGTACAAACGGATGCATGGGACACGAGCTCAAGTCAGAAAAAATGGAATCTCTTACCGGGGTCTCTGCCGCTGTTATCGGTAATATAAGCATATCCTTGGTCCGCATTATCCAAGACAATATCATACAAGAAGCTTCCATTAAAGCTGGCTACATCCTCCGGAAAGACATAGGTGAGGACGAAGTTCTCCTTTTTAATGTCGTAAACCAGTAATTTCGGCCTGCACTTTGCCACTGGCGAATCGCTCAATGTTTCCGTTCTGCCGCCATCAATAATCCAAATTCGTCCAGTGGCAGGATCGATTTCGATATTCTGCACATTCTGCAGGCTCTTGCAATCCCCGATCTGGTTCATCTCCCATGATGGGTAAGGCGATAGCAACGGCGCGGTGTTATTGGAAAGGCCCGCAGGAACGCGTACCAGCGTAGCAGGAACTCCCGGTTTCATCCTGGGTAGGGTGATGTAGTAAAAGTCTTCAAAGTATTTCAAGCCGGCGATTATGTTGTTTTCCGGCACGTACTGTTGCCCTTCGAAGGCCTGCCGATAAACCTCCGCATCAGGCCATGTAAAGTTCACATAGTTCCATTCTCGGATCACCCTGAATTTCGCAGAGGACAGGTCAATGTTAGCAGCTAAGCAGAAAAGCGCGCTAACAAGCAACTTCGTCGTTAACATGATGAATGAAGACACAACGCGTTGCACAACCAACGGTAGATCAAGTACGACTGACCAAGATTTTGTTGTTTACAGTTTGTTTTATAGTTGGGAAGCGGACAGGTAGTGGAAAATTATTTAAATCATGTTAATTGAGGATTCTTTATGTCGTTTGCGATGCTTGGACGTAAAGGAAGGTGACTTGCGGTGAATTCATTAGCAGACAGTAAATCCCTGACTGGGACTTTTATCAGGGATCATTTTTAGGGGTCAGGAACACTAATAAAAAGTAGGCTGTTAAAAGTTTTTGAAATTTTCTGGTTAATCCAGCCAGGCGAAACTAGTGGGATTCGCACTCTGCACGCCCTCATTGGGAGAAAAATGTGATTAATTGCGTACTTGTATGTCGAAACGGTATTTGCAGTAACAATTTTCGCCCACCAGTCCCATAGTTCAAGAACATTCGAACCGAGTGTGAAAACTTAATAATTTTACATGCTCAGGGTGGCGCATTGAACACTGAGATCGCATTAACGCGTTTCTGAGTAAACGCCCTGTATTTTCCTAATAGAGCAATATTTAACGAATGCATCATTGTAACATTTAAAATCTACAAAGGGTCAGAGTGATGGTTCCTGAAAGCCTCAAGAGCCACGCCTCATTTAAGATACGAAAACACTTGAATATTAAAGTAGATATACAGCGTGTTTCACCGGAAAACCGCTTCGATTATAGATGTTTCCAAATACCCTCAAATATTAGATCTCAAACTACAATTAGGAAATTTTGAACATTTTTTGAAAAACAAAATCACCCGGTATGGTATAGTCAGGGGCGGATCCAGCTTTAAAGTCAGGGGGGGGGGGTTATGTAGAAAAAATACAGTCTTCTGTTGTTTATCAACTTAGAAAAATGATCGTCGTTTTGTGCAAGGGTGGCGCAAGATTATTGCCAAATTTCATGTTTTCCGTCCCGTTTTGCATGTTTCTCGGAAGCAAAATGGGCAAAAACGCTCGTTTTTACATCATTCCAAAGATAACTAAATTGCCTTTATTCGAAGTTTGTCAAGAACCATTCGAGCCATAGAATTAGTTTTGGCATCGTTGGATAGAAAATTGAAAAGTCCATTCAGTCGTAACAACGTTAGTGAGGAAATTCGAGTAGTTTTGACCCAGAAAACAAAATTTGAATATCAGACACTTAAGTGCAAGATTATGCCAAAATTCCATGCTTTCCGTCCCGTTTTTATCGAGTGGCGTGCATACCGCTTTGCTATTGGATATTTTTGAAGAGAAAATCGTACGCTACTGGTTTTTTGAAGAATACAAATACGTCGTAATTGATTGTTGAATTTTTAAGAAAAAATCACTTTTATTTTTGTCGTTTGATCAACCGTTTTCCGTTCAAATGCATTTGGATTCTTCTTTCCCATTTATATTGGGATTTACAGTACTTATTTCTGAGACACCCGGTATATACTTAAACCTAACCGTCTTTTGAGATATTTTATATTTTAAGTCAAAAATTAAATTTGCAGGCACTAAACTAATCATTAAAATTTCAGTTATTGATACAACATATGAAGCTATAAAGGACCAAAATTTTACAAAAATCTAGCGAAATACTCAGAGGTGTAAAAATCGAGTCAAGTTTTAAGAAGTAGGCCCGGGTAACTCAGTGAATTTTTAGGAGTTGGCGCAGTGCTGCGCAAATGGCTTTTTGCGCCAACCCAACGCACCGGCGCAGAAACTCAGTTCCGTTGCTGGGAAAATGTTGATGACTTTTTCCAGTTTATTTGAAAGGCGATTTATTAATAATATTGTTAAAATGTCTTCGAATTTCGCCAACAATTTTTTATAAAAAAACGAACAGAATAAGCGAAAGTTTATAACAGATTATTTGGAAATCTCGTCGACTCCATTCCTCTGAAGATTGTTGCATTGGCTAAAAAATTTGGTTTTTTAGTTTCGACTGATTTTTTTTTGCTTTATTTCCTGCTCAAAAACGCTCTATTTTGCGGAGTTTCACTTAAAAACACTGACGATATGGAGGACTTTTACGCGAAAAATTACAAAACCAATTTAAAGCTTTGTAAAAATTTAACAAAAACTTTTTCATTGTCGAATTCGGGACAAAAACGAAAATAAATTCCCACCGTTTTCTATATACCAAAATATCAATGATTTAATGGTTTGATAAAAATCGAATCGAAAGGACTACTTCAATAGCTAGCATTTCATTTAGGATGAAAACGTCTAATGCGCCGGCAATTTGTTTATGTTTATTTATATTATTTATATCGTCGCGATTTGTTTATGTTTGGCCGTTTTCTTTTTTGGACGAGTTGAAACGTGAAACTTGTCTTTGAAAATATTGTCGTGCGAATAGGCACTTTCTACAAAAACAGTCAACAGTAAAAAAACTGAATACGCACGGAATGAATCATCCAAAGGGCCATCGAGCAAACGATTATATCATGTTGGTTCTGTAGTTTGGTGCCTTCCGAAGGCGGCAAAAATTTTGATTTCGCAAAGTTTTTTCGAAAAGCTGACTGAATATTGAGTTTCTTACAGACTATCGGCGAAGATCTCGTAATCTTTGTCTCGTGTGAATCGGGTTCTTAGTTAGAAAATATAGAATAATTGTGGCTTCTTAACTGCGATAGTTTATTCTGCCTGCTATGCAGGATTAAAGTTTTCTATGCGGAGTGGATTTTCATTGTGTATAACGTGATCTTTTTGAAGAAAATTGGGCGTCAGCTTGCAGAAAGTTGGTAAGAATGATCTCTAATCTATAATTCTTTTGACTTGAACTGGGATTAGTTTTTCGAAGGGAAACTGAAGTTTTCTGATTTACCACAAATGTACCTAAAGCTAAACACATTTTCTTCTTTCGGCTTTGGAAAAGTTTGATTTTGCTTTGCCCCTGGTTGCCTTGTAGATGTAGAACTTTTACTCCCATATTGTTGTATTTTATTATATTCTTACATGTCTTATTTATTCCACCAGGACGTTTCTGTCGGAAGGTGGTTGTTTTTCTTTGATAGCATTTATGCTGCTATTTTACGTAATGGAAATTCTGGCCCGTTTTTGTGCGAATTTTGCGCTCAACCACATAGTTTGCTGTCCTTTTAGCATTTAAGCCTGAAACTCCACTACATCTTTTAAAGTGCGCTCAAAAGTTTCGATTTTTACTCATTGCACATATCAGCAATTGATTAAGGTGTGATTTTGCACGTTTTTTCTTTACAACTATCTGTTCTTTCTTAGCCCTACGTGGCAAATTGTTTATTTCCCCATTGAACGGTTTGCACTTTTCTTGACTTTGAGCTCCATTGAGAAACTATACCAAGTGCAAAGATTTTCAATTAGCTTGAAACAATATACCTGTAATTAAACAAAACTTTATGATCCCCAGCCCGGCAGTTGTTCCCATATATGCACGTGTATTGTTGTGGTTTCAACTAAAAATAGAGTTCTTAAGGTATCTGCTTCAAGTACGAGGACAAGGTTTTTTAAAACAGGTTAATGCAATTTACCAGTTGGGTCTCTGAGGGTTAATTATTCTTTTCCCGGTATGCCCATGAATTGACGCATTCAGTGTTCTAGATGTTTAAGCTAGATGAAATAAGAATGGCATTGAAATTACGCTACATTTTATCGGCGAAAAATACCTAAAGCATACTAATGGGCTTATTTGCGGCAGAGTGACGCATTTTTCGTATGTAAACCCGTGGTTAGTGGGTCCCCTCTAATTCAGCGACTTTTTACCAAGTAATCGCTAATTTTTCTCTTTAGCGTCTATATAATGAATTTACCGTCAACAACCAGATTTATTGCTTGATTTGGCAAATTCAGTTTTGCTGGCTTCATTTCGCGTTGTAATTTGATTCATTTTCGTTATTATGACACGATAAACTTACGATTTTGGTCTCAGTTAATTTCAATACAAAAAACAATTTGCGAAATTAATGTTGACGCTAAAGAAAACACACTCAAAAATGTTAATTGACTGTTTACGTCTACAAAGTCTACAAATAAAAAACTATTCTGATTGATCATTTATTTTTAAAATGATTTTTACCCAAAAGTCTTTTATACATAAAAAAATAAAAAGTTCAATGTCTAAACACGCAGGTTTGTTTAAAACATGGCAGATAAATATTTAAACGATAAAATATTTACACCTGCAAACCGCTACCAGCATTGATTCTGAGTCTTTGGTATCAAGAACTAACAAGAAAAACATGAAAAAACCGTTTCCATATAAAATAGTCTAAACATTAAACAAATATACAAACAAATTCCGATGCAACAGTTCTTCCATGTTTTCTTAAATTTAGCGTCCGAAATTGGCATTAACAACGGGCATAATAAAATGCGAGGAAAACAACTTTTAAATGATCTTATATTCAAAATAAAACAAAATGGCTCAACCTCAAAAAAACAATAAAAAAATATATATTAAGTACAGTATAATTTAGTTTGCTTTTGGCAGGTTCTGCACGAATTTCGAAAACCTACGCAAAACTTAAGGAACTGAAATCTGTATTCTAAATAATTTAAAAAAACTAAAACTTAAGTGACATTTCTTCCGTATGGAGGGTATCCAGAACAGTATCTTTTTAGTTGAAATTTGCTCTTACGAACTTCTCCACTCATAACTTCACGTTAGCTTGTGAACGCTTCGATATTTGGACACCTCACTCCAAGTTATTAACCGAATATTTACAAAATACATTCGTATATAAAGCTAATTTCAATAAGAGATCAATACCAATAAATATAGCGTTCACGATTCTAATCTTATATTATTACATTTTCCGCTGACTTCAACCAGATTGCTGCAAAGGTGAACGAAAATAAAACCTTCAGATAGAGGCAATTGAAGTCAAATTAAGTCTTCTGGGAAATAAATGTAAGCTAAAGTTGCTCTTAAGTAATTGTTACACTTCATCTTTTATAAACATGAGTTCCTATGAACATATTCACTCAAATCAGTAAACGATTGTGAAATAAAATATTACCAACAACCAGTTGCAAAAATAGTATAAACAACGAGGATTTTACGACTTAAATCAGTGCAAGAAAAATTCATTCCTTAAATAAGCTTCACAACTAAATTGTTTTATCACAAGTAAATTCAGATAAACAGTAAAAACTACATTTTAACAGAACAATTCAATTTTATAAATAACCGAGCAGCCTTAAATATCGGTGACGTAAAAACAACGCAAAAATAACAAATTGACAAAAGTAAACAACTCAAACGGGCATGTAAGTAATACAAAAAAAACGTTGATATGCTATTTGAAGTCTGTAAGTTAACAGTTACAGAACGGGGCAGTTTCATATAAAGTACAACTTCCAAGTAGCACCAGGAATGAATAAAAAACCTGCATCAAACATTTTCACGTTTTTTAACAAGACTCAGCAAGTCTCCTGAAGAGCAATAAGCCAGAGAATGGGATAACTTCCCGCAAGTGCAGTAGATTAGTCTTATTGTTTGGCCGTTTTGGAAAGTGGAAATTTTGCAGCTCCTAATCAAACCATAAATTGGTGAGTCGGAAGGCTGGATTTTTTAAACAACAAAAAAATAAACATTGGAAACCTGACACCGCAACTATCCCACCAAGTAATGACTTGCGAAGCATCCTTCATCAACATACAACAGCAAATTTATTTGATATCTTACGCTAATCAGGTATGAGGCAATAGTCAATGTTGGCCTTAATGCGAAAATCACATCGTGTGTTCAAACTGTCCAATACTAGTGGGAAGTTAAAGTGCCAGGGCCCTAAAAAATACACAAAACAAAGCGCACGAAAATATAAACATTTGTAAATATAACTAAGCGAATTCACCGGGAACATTATAACATGTGGATTAACCAAAACGAAAGTCCTCGCTGATCATTGACAAGGTTTTCGCCGTTGCTATCAAGCGAATTTTTGTCTCATTTCATTCGAACTTTGCAGGCTTCTTTTAAACAAATATTAAGAATGCGACCCGCAGTTGCAGTAGAATATCGTCTTTTTGTGACCATTTTCTACCAACCCAGTAATGGTAAAAATCTCCGAAAACCCGAGAGGAACATTTGAATGACACGTTAAATTTTTTTATATACAATAAACAACCGGGATATAAACCCATTTTCAACAACTTGGTACGCTTTATTCGAACAGAAGCGCCACCATTCCAGCACAAACCTTTGCAAAGCTGGGTCAAATCAATCGAAAATAAATAATCAACAAAATCAAATCACATTAATAATGACGAAAAGGATAGAGAGAGAAAAATCGACAAACTTAAGCTTCCGTAGAGGCAATGAGCGTGTTGGGAGTCGAATTTTTGGGCGTGTAGGCCGTCGCGTTTGGATCCAGTTTCGAAAGTCCTGCCGGCGGACTTTCAGCGAGTCGAACTCTCGACATTGGTGAGTTGTGTGATGGCGTCGGACTCGCCTCAAATGAATCGTTCGGCATAACAGCAAGTACCTGCGCAATTTTACCTTTTAACGCCTCGATCTCTTTTTCTTGTGTTCGGTTTGCATCTGAAACAAACAGATTTATTACCATCTGCAACATACATGGTTGCAAATGTATATTTTTCTATGAAAATCGTTGGTATCTCAGCTATTATTGAAGATTGTCTACTGTCTACATTGCTCTGTAACACAAGTTCTATTAATATTTTCACGTTTCTTGAAATATGACTCTAAATCGACAATTTGATAACCGTCAATCTGATGACTGCATTTCGCGTTTTGTTCAGAGGAATCTAACTATGGTTCCGTTCAAAAACCCATTCTAAAAACCTACAACTTTCGTTGCTTGATCGGTCATAGTATTACGAAAACTGCATGTGTCTATTCTCAAAAATAACTGCATTTTCCGCGGTTTACAACGAAAAATAGAGACCAGGTACGTGTAAAGCAGATCTTACTTTGGCTGATCTCGAGGTGTCTTTTGGCGTCCCCCAACGCGCTGAACAGGTCCAATTTAATTCGCGTTTCCGCAGACAGGGCATTTTCTAGATGGGAGTTTTTCTCCTGGACCGTCGACAATGCTGCCATAAGCAGTTCGCGATCTCTTGCTTGTTCGCCGATCGCCTGCTTTTCCAGCTCGTGTGTCTTGCACCTGACAAATAGTCTTTTTTAAATTAACGTGCATGCTGCCTCTAAGATAAACTACACACACCGACAAAATTAGGCATAAATGAACAAAAGTTTGAAAACTGCATGTCAATTCTCTCGTTAACGCTAAATTCTAGCTTAGCTCTTCAGGAATGAATCAGAATTATTGCCGTTCTTGATAGATGAATCCGTAAGCAAGAATTTTTCTGGTTCATACCTCACGAACTAACTAAATCAGATATAGTTTTCGAGAAAATTTTCTTGAATTATCCAAGTTTCACTAACTTTGCCGGTGTGTATACAGTCGATTTAATTGTAATTACCTTTCTTCTGCCCAGCGCTGCGCTTGCCGACATTCGGTCAGTTCTGCCTCGAGTTCTCGCCGCCGAGCCTTGCACAGATCAGTGCATTCTGTTCTGGAAGACTGCTGTGCTGTCACCTACACGCAATGTTAGCGCTGTTTTTAAAAGCATCTAAAATCTAGGATATCTTTGCATACTTGTGCAAGTCTGGCTTCTTCTTGTTTACGATTTTTCCGCTCTTGCGCCAGTTGAGAATCCACGTTGGCTCTCAACCGTCTTTCTTCGGTCAGCCGCCGCTCCAAAGTGGCTATAGTCTGTTTGTCCGTCTGCTTGGCAGATTGTGCATTTTGCAGGCGCTCTTGTAGATCGTCTACCTGCCGTTGCAGCAGCGACAGCTCGCCTTTCGTGCTTTTCTCACACGTGGTTAGCGATGCAACCTTGAAACAATTCAGTTTTGTTAGTGCTCATAAAGGCGATTTTTCGTGTACACTCTCACTTGCAATCGCAGGTCTTGTTCGCTAGCTCTGCTTTGCTGCAAATCGGACTTTAACCTCCGCGTGTCCGTCTCTAACCTTTGAAGGTATTCGTGAGCTTCGCGCTCTTTGTCTTGTTCTCTCCTGTCCCGTCTTTTGACTTGTTTTGGTTCGTGGTCAGTCGTTTCTTCGTGGAAATCCACCACTGAACCGTTACTGTGTGAATGATTTATCTAAAAAAAAATTAATTTCGGTTTTATAATACAGATTGGATAGAGATGCAACTTCTCCACTAACTTTAATGTGTCTGTCTGTGACTGATGTGTGATCGCGGCTTTTGTCGATTGCCGATTTTTTGTGAGATCTCGTACCATGATTGACACCATTCGGTATGGTGCCGTTAGGTATGTGGCCGTTTTTTTCCTGAAACAAAAAAACTGCATCAGAAATATGTGCATGATTTTCGCGAAACCGTTGAGCAGCTAAACAACTTACCTTATGACTATGGTTATGAACCTTATGATTATTTTGTACACTTGAAGCCGCTATTGCGACAATGGGCGCGATACTCTGCCGAACCTGATCCGAGGGTGGATCGGGAGGTCTCTCTGCTGGTAATGCTTGCTGCATTATTTGCATATAAAATACATTTTCTTTGGCCACATGTTGTTGCTTACGCTGTCGCATTCTAGCCAATAAAAAAATTAACTGTTAAAACACCCTTTAACTCTCTTAAATTGCGTATTTCTATAGTACTTACCTGTAGCCTACATAGGTTTTGAATCCGAATCCTAACGTTACGACCGGATATCCTATGCAATGTGCAGCGAACGGTCGACAAAGGTCCAAATGTCCCGGAAGATGTTTAACATCTTTTAGTCGAATGGCCGCCTCAAGGTACACAAATAAAATCCAAAGGATTATCGTCGGCGTACAAATTCCTGGAAAATATCATAGAAAAGTTTAGCGGCATGGGGGCGATCTAAGGCAATTTGTTGTTTTTAATATCCAATTTGCGCTCATTAATATAATTAACAGTAAAATGCGAAATTATCAGTTATCTCTCAATGTTAGCCTTGATCTTCTTGGTCGGATGAGAGCAAATATTTCTTTAAAAAAGTATAATTTTTAACGTCTTAAACCACTAAGTCCTTCGCCATTTTAGTGAGACAAATCTTTGCATCATGGAAAAGATAACAAATCCAGATCTCAAATGTTCTTGATCATGTCTTGCACAAAACGATTAAATTGTTCTTGCAATTGAGGCGGATAATTCGTTTTTAGGTCAATAAGAAATTGAGCTGATAGTTATTCTATAAAAATCAACTAGTTAAAGATAAATACTGACCTTTATCTGTATGCCAAACATACTGTACCCATACGTAAGTACTGGCAGCGAAAAAGAGCCAATGCACTGGTATGAAGAAGTAACACAGCATGTCCGATGTGAGCGAAATGGCAACGAAGAAAGCCGAAAATAGAAGGCCTTGATACCTATAGGAGTCGTACAGTGTACGTATCACTAGGTAGAATGGCCATAGAAATTCAAATCGGAACTCCAAAATAAAATCCGCTAGTATTACCAAGATCCACAAAATCAGAAACTTCAAATAGAGAAGGGCGCTGAAAGAAAAATGCATTGAATCAGGCCTTTAGTAGCCTAAATAAATGGTTCAAGGTGGAACTTTAGTCCAAAATAATTTCTATTTATATTTTACAACAGAAAACATTTTTAATTTGCATAACGTATTTTAATTTTGAACTTGAATGAACCCAAACATTATCAATCGTTTTATTACACAGATTAAAATTGCAGTCTTCTGATAACTTTTATTATAGGGCAGGTTTTTGAATGCAGACCTTTTCATGAAAGAGGATCTTTTCACTAGTCAGCAGTAAAAAATTCCGCGCAGTACAAAAATGTGGGTGATTCGAGGGAAATTTTGAGGGCTTTCAGGCCCAACTGTCTTCTATGGTCAATGGAAATTTCGAAATGTAAATTGTCTTGGATTCGACGCTATGAATGTTTCAAGGAGAAAGCGCATTTGTGAGAAACCGCTTATTTACAGGACAACTTTTACCAAGTGCGAAAATCGAAAATTTGGGCGCTTTCAGTGAAATTTTCGAAATTGGCAGGCGGAATGTCGGCTATGTTCGGTGAATTGCGAAAATTTCAAAGTGTGACCTAGTTTGGATTCAAAGTTATGAATTTTCCAAGAAAGTAGATTTGCACAAAAACGCAAATTTTTAGGACAACTTTAACAAATCCGCTCAAAACAGGAATTAGGGTGATTTCAATGAAACTTTCAGGGCTTTGAGACTTACCTGTTTCTATTGAATGTGAAAATTTGAAAGCGCATTCGTTCGTAAACACTCATTTTCAGCACAATTGTTATCTAGTCCAGAAAAATGAGATATACGGGAGATTTTAGTGAAATTTTCGGCATTTGTCGACTCAAGTGGACAGTAAAACTTTCAAGTTGTGCCTTATTTGGGATGCAAATTTATACATTTTCAAGAGAAAGGAAATATATTTAATTTAAATAACACATCGTTATTTTGAATTTGAATTAGCCCAAAAATTATCAACCGAATTTTCGAGGATATCTTGACTAGATTTAGATAAAAATTGCGTCATTTATCAGCTTACAAAGGTTTTATATTATAGTGCAGCTTTTCCCAATACACATCTTTTTACGAAGAAAAGCTTTTCCTTAAAGTTAACAATAAAAAATGCATAGCTACAACTTAAGTAGACTTAACTGCAGATTTTCTAGCTTCTACAAGCATAATTCCAACAGTCTGGCAAAGCGAGTTAGATCACTTAGAGTATACGTATTCCCGCCTATTATAAGTATGTTTTAATGGTTTTATATACTCAATAAAGTAAAGTATTAATTGATATCATAACTAGTAAACAGATTTGATGCTAGGGAAGGTTGGCAAGTAGATAAGGGACATAATCTAATTTTTATGACTTCAACTGGTCGATACGTGTACTTTTGCCATCTGCTTGAATACCAGGAAAACCAGTTTGTACGATTTGGAAATATTCAACTAATTGGGAACCAGGCGGTTAATTTATCATGCATAAAGCATTACTATTTTTGTAAGGCTGGTGGAATGCTTGCAAACATGGACAAGACCCCCAGTACTTCTGAGCATACCGCCGCAAAACAATTCATAGATATAATGTACGTTTTTCGAGAAGATAATTGGGATTTAAGCCTTAATGTTCTATCTAGAAGTGTTTACTCAAATAGCATAAAGTGGAAATTGAGGCCCCACTGACTGTTGACGACATCTAATGTAAATATTTATCTCATATGAATTAAGTCATGCATTTATTCAATTGCTCAGCGTGGAAGTAATGTAAGTAAGTTAAAAACAAAATAGATTTTTCTGTATATTTATAGATTGGGGAATAAAAATAAGATTTGTTTTGACAGCTGCATATATTTAACGTTTATTAACTGCGGGTTTAGGGCAGTTAGAGACAATGCGGATGAATGGGGGGTTCAATTCACTGGGGGCTCAAATAAGGGTCGAAAAAATTGGAGCCAAAAGGTCCCAGGCTCTCAAACAACAGCCATTTTGGAACACATATGGCCAAAAACGTTTAGATTGTGACCGAACCGGTTTCCTATTATATCATATGGATCACATTCACGTAGGGAGACTGTCAGAAATCTACCTTCCATAAAATCCCTCGGTAATTTTGTTCTTTTTCATGGGTCTTCTCATCTTAGCCAGTTCCACATTTCGCCTCTTCATAATTTCATACAGAACCACTATGATCACTTCACTTTTTAGAGGCTCTTCCCGGAATCCGCGGTTTTTTCATGGATTTTTCTCATAAAAAACGTCTTTGCGGTAAACGGAACGTCTTTTTGTTGACAATTCGCACAGCTTTGGCGGATTATGCCCGTGTCAATGTAGAGATGTCGCTGTGAAATCGTTATAGCGCGGATTCGAAAAGGAGAGCACCATAACAGAATTCCGTTACGTAACGTCATCCGCGAGGCGTTTGTTTCAATAATTTTTTCTATGTATCGGAAAGTTATGGTTTTCAATTAAGAACAAAGATTTTTTAATTTAAATAGACAGTTATTTATTTGTGTAAAACTGATCAATAAATGACAGGGCTACACCATTCGTCCATCCAAATCCAGCTTGCACTACGTACTCGCCTCCTCCGCCGAACTTTCCAGGATCGAGAGCGTCGTACTTTTCGAACATAATTTGGTTCTCCCTGTATCCTTCAATGTTGGAAGATATCCATCTGAAAAACTCACATAAATGAAGCGATTTAATGCAAAAGGGTTTGCAGTGTTTTGCTTTACACGATTTAGCCTCCTCTAATTTTCAAGGGGGGGGGGGGTTATGTAGAAAAAATATAGTCTTCTGTTGTTTATGAAATTAAGAAACATGATCGTCGTTTTGTGCAAGGGTGGCGCAAGATTATTGCAAAATTTCATGTTTTCCGTCCCGTTTTGCATGTTTCTCGGAAGCAAAATGAGCAA